TCTTTCATTAAGTTTTTGTACCACCATCAGTCCAATGCACTTTCATTTTAAAGGTTGTCAGGCTATTTCCATATAAAGAAAAGATTTCCCACTTAACTGTGAAAGTGTCTTGATGTGTATCTAAATTCTTGTTGATATGACGAAACATTGACATTTCTAATGTATGTGTCACCCTTAGTTACTATTCAGATGGCAGTATCATGCCATGACTTGTTCCATATAGCTGTCCTGGAATTTCAGGTATGTGGTGGTTTCAGACCACAAATGTGGCCAACCTCACAAATATGAGGCCAACTACAAAATACTTTAAGCAAATACTAAAACTTCAAATGGTAGCCAATGAGATCGTATTCGGACACTTCGTGATTATGAAATAAATTCTTCCACAAGGAAACTGACAAACATGCAGCATATGAAACTGGGCTCCAGAACCCTGTTGCCCTCACCAGAGCCAACACTTGTGCTGAAGATGGATATCCTTTAATTATCAATAGGAATAGTAATGTGTATACACGATAATTGTATTCTTGTCACTGGCATAGTTAAAAGACGCTCCCATCTGTTGAAGATATTTTACCTTATCCTGTGGAGAGACAGAATGCAAGTGTGAAATTGCCTGTTGTGTCACATATGCACGTATGTCCCTTGTACGCTGTTTCACTCTATGGGAAAGCTGGTAACTTTTTCTTCTAAGCTTGCTTTGAAATTCAAGTTTGGAATAATCTATATAGCACTTGATTTTGAGGGGCATCAGTCTTACTGGTGCCTGAAACTTCAGTGAGAAATAATCCTAAATTCTTCCTTTCTAATTAGTGAATATGGTTAATATCCTCCTTGCTGGACATATTAAATGGAATACAGCACACACTAAAGTGGAGTGATGACAAGAGAAGGGCACGGCTTAATAGTGGTGGATGTTTCCAAGTGTTTGACTACAAGCTGAGTCAGGTTTTGCAAAATCTTTGGCTTTGAAATGTTTTCTGTGGCTTCTCCTGTCACCCTGTAAAACTAGTTCCACTTGCTAACAGTAACTTGCTGTCTAGGAGTGATGCCACCATCACTCAATAAAATGGCGAAGATTACTAGAAGGGACCAGTAAAACATTAGACACTGTCTTCCATGAGCTAGACTTATGCCCTAACTATCTTACATGAGTATGGATCACTCTAAACTCCTAAAAGTGAGTGTTCAGTGGTAGTAGTAAGAAGATCAGTATCTGATGGGCCTAAGGTTACTTCTAACCTCCAGTCCCACCATCCTACTGTTCTGCTTGCCTTTGGGTGGCCAAGGCCTTAGTCCCTCTATGTAGGGACTAGGAGTTCTGCCGTTAACTTCACTGGGATCAGGATCAACTTCTGCATTGCAAATAGTAAAGCATTATGCAATTATTGTAAGATACTTCTGTAACTGTAATTAGATCAGGATGGGCTGCATTCTTCTTTCCTCAGGGAGTTATGTACAGTACCTTGGTTGGAATAGGAGACAGATTTAACCTGATTGAATCATTAAACGGAAATACAAGACAATGAACATTAGCCACTTAATTCATTTCATAAATTCTAATAATTAAAACTGCATGTGCAATAATAATGGCTATTCCAGATATCTAAGTAAGAAAAATGCACCTTTGATATGTTGTGGCATAGGCATAATGAAAACATTGAGTTAATGGAGGATCTATGTAATAAGAGTTACCATACAGAACCTGCAGTTGGAAATATATAAACACGTTTCCCAACAGAATTTCACTACATCACAATTCATTAAGAAAATTGGCAATAACTGACAAGATAGGCACAAAATGGATTTTCATGTTGCTGGGATGAAGTATGGCTCCCAGCAATTAATGGTTTTAGTCATATTAAGCAGATAAATAATGCTATCTGACATTACAGTATTTCACATTACACTAAAATTTTATAACATTTGCTCATAATATGACTTGAAATATGTTACCTAGGAAAAATAATGTTATCTCTGGAACAGTCAAACCCCATTAGAAACCTTAGGCTTGAAAAATCACAATGTTAACAGTTATATCCCCTAGCAAAGGTTTGCTTTCCTTAAATAGTGTTAAATTTAAACCCAGAAGCTCTAGTCTCTTTTGGAGTTACTCTTCCTTAGTGCATTGAGCTTGAAAGGAAAATTTAGTGCACAAAATGTACTGTGCATTACTGAATGCTGGTAAGTGAAACTCTATGAAGAGCTGCAGAAAGAAGAGGGTAGCCTTTAGAGTGAAATCACATCAGTTCTCTCAAAAAATGTTTCTATATTCTGCTTTATAAAAAAGCTCCTAATCTTAATATGACCCCATTACCCATTATTGATAAATAATTTGATTGCTTTAAACCTCATTCTAATTGGCATGTTTGCCTTTTTCACAACTGGATATATTCTACCTACTATTCTTTTTGTAAAAAAAAGATTTTACTGTAAAACACTATGGGTCTAAATTTCCAGTTCCTGCTTGCGTAACTCCTCTGATTTCAGCATTCTTACTTGTGTAAGTATAGTTTTATACTCAAAAATGCCCAATGTGTTCCAAGCATTAATAGGATTCGAGAACAAACACGGGAACATTATTTCTCTCATGTGGCACTAATTCTATTCCAAATTCATTGAGTAATGTGGAAGAAAATGTGATTGCTTGTCAAAGCTCAGATGCAGTTTTTTGTTGGGACAGTATGCAGTGGATTTGGAAGTGTCATGTTTAGCTGAAGGCAACGACGCTTAGTGTCTCAGCACCCAACTCCCACTCAATTTCAACAAGAGTTAGCAAACAACCTTCCCTTGGGCTTCAGTGAAAATCCTTGGTTTAGTATCCAGTCTGAGCTGCAGTTTCACTAGCAGGAAACAACCTTTTTTTGAGGTCTTTTAAGGTATTGTTTCCTGAAACAGCAGAAAATCTGAGTGCAGAGGGAGTACTGCAATTCTGTTACTAAAACATAAAAAATGTTAAATTTTAGTATAAAAAAAAAAAAAAGGTTCTCAAGATTGTTAGGATTATTGAATACAATAAACCTTTCCAAATCCAAGGCATAAACAAAACAGGTAAACTTCTACATGTGCCAAGATACAATTTTATTGCTTCTCAGATAACACTGCATTTAGGCATTTATTTAACTTGAAGGTACTGGAAAAGCAGAAACAGTTCACTTATGTCTTATGACATTTGTCCTACTGTATGTTAGTGGAAGAGGTAGGGGAGACATTGCTGGCAATGTCATAAGAAGTGCAGACCAAAAGCTCAGTAATTGTGCTAGCAAGAACATGTAATCTCTGCCAGACTCTGGTATCTAGATTTAATTAACTTCAATTGGAAGATGTAAAATATTTCACCGCGGTTCTTATATGACCTTATAAAAAAGACACTGTTTATGGAGGTCACAGTTCTGCATTGTCTCATGATGATTTTCACAAATTTGTTAAATTGCTGAAGTATATCACAGCCTGGGAGTCTCAAAGCTCCTCTCTGCATAGTTGTGTGATCACCAGTGTGTGATGCTGTACACCAAACCTCCAAGGGACCTCCAAGTGAACACTGGTGTGGAGCCCTCAGAACAAATTCTAGTGATATCAATAGCAACTATGTATATTGGACTTATTTCTAGCTTTTTCTTTTTTTTTTCATGAATTGAAGAAGAAACAGTTGGTGCTGTATGTCCAGCTGCTGTTTGTAGATGACCACCCAGTTCTGCAGGAGCGGCCAATGACCCAACACTTTGGGAACCACTGGCTTTAAAGGTTTGGTTCGTGCTTTCACATCACCTCTCTATGCTCGTATGTGTTAGTGTTTACTGCACCTTCACAGTATCAAAAAGAAGTATTGGTTTTCTTGTGCTTATTTTAAAACCAGTACACTTAAAACCAACCAAACTTAGATCTAAGTTGGGTATATAAAAATATACATGTAACAGCTCATATCATACAGTAAAAAAGAAAGCACCTGTGTGGAAAGCTTACCCCTTTCTTTGGAAGTAAAGCTGTCTTCATGTAGTTGCTTCAGTAACATGTACTTACACGTATATACATACAAAATGAGAACTTGAGCCACATAAATCTGTCCTCTTATGTGGCAGAGAAGACAGAAGGCCCAGAGGCGTGATATGTCTCATTCTTTCTCCATCACAGAACTGCTGCCATTCACACTGTGCGAACAAGAGTATGGCTTGGGTAAAGTGCGAAAAGCGTGAGATAAATTATGCTCCATGTGGCATAATTCCTCCCAGGAAACAGCATAACCAACAGCCCACAAAGAATTGTATGTTATTCTGTTGTCAGAAGGAGCAGCTGTCACTAAGAACTCTACAACCCTTGCTGAGGAATGCCAGCACAAGGTGTTGGGCCATGTGTGCTGTCTCTGCACTGTGATGGGGGTTAGAGAGAAGGGCCAGTTGTATGTGTTGCACTTGCAAAGCTATGAACCAGAGGGCTGCTGGATAACTTCTGCATCACCTCTGACCCAAACTGGGACAGAAAAACAGAGTGGAGAAAAAACATTGTGGATCTTGTTGTGTGAAACCCTTTCTCTGGATAGGAGGGTCAAAGTATAACTGTAAATTGTTACACGCTATTTAAAAAGATGACTAAATAATTTAGTCTGTTTAAACATTAGGTTTCTTTCTAATCCTAGCTGCATTTCACTATAGTAAAAGTGGATATTTGAAGAAAATATTTCACTATTAAAGATCCTTGCAGTTATGTTTTTAGAAGTGCCTTTTCCAGGTCAGGCTCTAATTTCTTAAGAAAAGTTACCTTTTTTTTTTTTTTCCCAAAATAAAACTGTAGTAATTAGATATTGTATTTAACCATGTGAAAAGAGTAAAAAGCTATTTCTATGCAGTTTCTGAGGTAATAAGCTGGCATGTTAAAAATGCATTAATGCAAGTCATTCGGTTGTGAGTGTGTCCCTTGCCCATCTTCCTCAAAAATAGGGGACTGACATGGTGATTTCAGTAAAGTCGAGAAACGGTCTGTGGGATACTAGTTGGTGTACTGTATCATAGTTCATCATGGTTTCTTGTGAGGTCCTCCCCATAATTAGTAGCTTGACTTCCAACGAACATATTCCAGTTGTCTAGAACCTCCTCTTTCGTTAGTTTTTGATCCTGGTGCAAGGAAAATAAAATCTCCATAAGAACATTTTCAAAGCTAAGTAAAACACACACAAGCACAGATTTAAAAGAGCCCTAGGACAGACAGTCCTACAAAGCAGCAGACCGCAGGTTCAGGAATCACTGTAGCTGTCACGATGAGTAAAATTTGGACCCCAGTGGAAGACAGAAGTCCCACTGCCTTCAGTTGGGTCAAACTGCTAAGTGAAATTTCTTTGTAACTAACTCACTGCCAAACAGCAGTTATCTGGGTTATCTGGTACACAGTTTTGTCCTGTGGTTTGGTTTTGCTTTCCTGACAGTAAAAATTAAAATCCTCTGGCATACTTTGTTGAAGATGGTTGCTTATGTTAGCAATTTACATGCTCTCTGTGTAAGAGTGTTTTGGCTTTTCAGATTCCAACTTTGCTCACATTACACTTCTGAAGATCACCATCTGGGATCTACTGAAGCATTAATCTCCCATGTTAGAAGAAGTGGATGTATTGAGCCAGTCTTCAAGTCAAAGAGGTGTGTTTGATTATAGAAATTTTTTTTTTTTTGCTATCTCCTATGTAAGGTATCTTTTATTTTTCTCTTGCAGTCTAAATCAGTGTACAAAAGCCATGACCACTCTTAAAAGGAAAAAGAGTATTTCTACCGTGTTAAAACTTCCAGGTTTAAGATGATAATTTCTTCTCTAACCTAATGAAAGCCAAGTGGACTTCTAGAGCTGATAAACTGTATTTTACTACTTTCATTTTGTGATTCTAACCCTACCAACTGAAATTGGCATTGATACATTCATGCATTACCATGAGCCTCTAAAACTCCATTTAAAGTGTACTAGTAAGAAAAGTCATTAGGAATAAATACTTGCAAGTTGATGTGTTAAAAATCCCACAGTACCTCATATAACTTTTTTTAAAAGTATACTAGAACACTAAGTACCTTGTCTACATCCGATTCATAGACTAAGTGCCTGGCTTCAGCTAGTGCGTGATCATAGTCTTGTGGGAGAATCCAGTGCTGAATCTCCTCTTTGTCCATCTTTCCATCCTTGTTGAGGTCACGAAAATCTGAAAACTGCTCACGCTCTGTAATCACCCAGTCAGGCTCTGGTCCACCCTCTTCATTTGCAAACATATCAGCTGGAGAGGAAATAAAGGTCTCACTCAAGTTGTATTTAATTTGCAAATTATGCACAAACTAAAGACATTTGCACAGTGTTCCTCAGAGGAAGACTAAACTTTTCACTCTTTGCACGGAGTTTCTTTGTACAGAAAAGGAAATGTGGGGTGCAAATAGAGTAGCCGCGTGTATCTTCTGTCAGGCCTATTTCCTCACTGCTGGTGATTCTATCCATTCTTACATTACCCTTGTATCGTAACTGTCACTGCTGGTGAGGCTAACATGAGAGGTGAACGTGTCCACTGAACTTCAGAATGAAAAAAAAATTTTTAAGGATCTTTAGCTAAATGGCAATCATAAGCTTTAGTGCTAGGCTCAGTCACACAGGGAGAAAGGAAGTCAGCAATTTTATCTTGTCCCTGCCAGCAAATGTCTTTGTGGATAAGATCAGACACCAGCCAGCAGCAAGTGGTTAAGGAAAAAAAGCATGGGGGAAATCTAGGAAAACAAAAAATGCTAAATGAAACTTGAATGCTTTTGTCCTGCTTTTAGAGAGGTCTGTGTAAGAGAAATTCATCTTAGTAGATGAGTCCTTTTTTAAACCATGCAGTGCTGCAGCATACTCCAGTGGGAGGTATTCTTCTACAAAGAAAGACCTAGAGAAGTCATGAATCAGTGGTGCATTCCGTGTGAGAAACCACAGGCAGTGCACTTGTCATAGATTGGTACCTTGGGATGGAGTACCATTTGTGACATAGGATGCATACATTACGTACATGAGCTGCTCTGTATGTCAGTCCTGTGCTATATTTAAGAAGTATGAGCAGGAAAATGCCACGGTGGCAGAGACTATCTGTATAAACAGAGTTGGGAGAGTAGTAGCAGTGATTATTAAGAGCAAGTGATTTGTAACTGTTCTTTACAGCATAGGCCTTCCAAATGATGAGTAGTGTGTCTACTTTATTCTTCTGGTCCCTGTGGCCAACCAATTGTTTCCTGCTCATCAGGGCTGCTTATCCCTCAAGCCTTCCACTTTCTATTTATAATTAAAGCCTGCTTTGTGATACTACTCCTATGCCTTTTGGGTTAGGTTTTCAAGGATGTGCTAAGGAAAACTGCACCCCACACGGATGGTCTCAGGGCGAGAGGCTGGCTAGTATCTATAGGAAGTATAAATGCTGGTCTCAAACCCAGGGATAACCTCCCCCAACCTGGCAGTGTGAGCGTGTACACTAGGCTGAAGTTCTCTATTGGTACAATGGTCTACAGTGTCCCTGAAATACTCTGTTACCTGCTCATGCACAGTAAGAATATTCTCTCTGCTTAACATGACTAGGGATATTTTGCTTTGCTACTTGTGTAAAATCTAAACCAAATTTTATAAAAGACAAAATAGGAGGGAGGAAGGAAGGAAGGAGGAGGAGGGAGGAATCATTCCATAACCTTCAGCAGATTTCCCCATCAAATACCTGACCTAGAGACTGAAATGTTTGGACTTCTTTTTGTTGTTCCTTATAAACTACCAAAGAAGAGATTTGGGTTTGTTTGTTGTTTAGCCCCAGCTTCATCAAAAATCAAAAATATTACATCTGAAAAAGGAAGTAGGAATATTTTAAGCATAGTTTTCCTCAACTCTTGAAGAAAACTTCAGACAACACATTCACTTTCTTTTTTCATTTTTTAAAGTGCAAATTATATTGTTTATTTGAAGCAACTGACATGTCCTGTCAATTTGATTTTTATCATCCTTGCTAATGTGGGGTGATCGTGACTAGAACATTCTATGTTCCTATCTATAGAAGACAAGAAAAACCAGCATTCACATGGTAACAAATGTTGACAATTACCTTATAATTATATGTAGGTAATGTCACTGAATGAACTGAAATTACTGTGGAAATTATGCTGCTCTGTTATTTCAGTCATAAATGAATAGCATTCACATTCTGAGGCTAAATATAATTTACAAGGAATAGAACCCCCCTGCCATTAATTAACATGTGTATATTGTTCCTGATTATATGTGAAGTGATCTCTATAGCACCACAAGAAACACAAAGATTCATCTCAGTTTGCGCTGATGCTTTCCTGACGCTACTTTCTTCATTTAAAACCCATCAAGTGAGTGCGGTGGGAGAAGGTAGCTTTTGGTATCAGCATAATGATTCAAAATGCTGAAACATATAATGTACTGCTGATCTCCAGTCCTGCTTCCGTTTTGTCTTCACAGGTCTAAGTGCAAGACAGCAGCTAACTGCCTAGCGTGACTGAAGTTTGTGCAAATTAACTGTGACTGATCTGCTATTGATGTTTCCCATTTTTTCTCTTTCTGCCACTGAAGTAACGCACAGCTAACTTTCACGCACTTCACAACTTCTTTGATAATCTTAAATCTTAGTGCTGTTTTTACACAGTTCATTTTAAATGCATTTTCTATTTCTAGAAGAAACACAATGGCATCACCATTAGAGAAGTATGGAGTTTTACTTACTAATTAAACTAGGAAAATAACTAGTAGAAAAAAAGGTGAATTTTCCTTTTTGCAATGTGTGCTTCCCAGCTGTTTTGCACAGTCAAGTACCATTCACACTTGGGAAGAGACTAATTCACTTTCTGATCCTTGTGCATTTCTAAACAATGTCTTCAAAAAGCTCTTAAAGTGGTCAAGTACACAGAGAATATTCCTGTCATGAAAAATATTATTCCAGATTCTCTTAGCCAAATTATATGAGAATAAGAGGAGAACCTTATGCTGTAAAGTGTGAGGAACCTTTTGCTGGGGATGTTGCTATCTGCCTAAAATGAAATTAAACTTTCTGGGTTGGATGGTTGGTTTAAAATAGTTGAATGGGAGCACAGAAATATTCATCTTCAGGCTGTTAATACTGCTGCAAATTTGAGAGAAGATGGACAAATGGAAAGGAGATTATATAAGAAACAAATCTCAACACTTACCAATGTATTCGTCTTGATCCACAAAACCATCCCCGTTTTTGTCTATGTCTTCTAAGGTTTCCTGGAAAATAGTTTTGCATTGAAGTAATCAAGTAATCGATTGAGAATTCTACCTACTCGCCTTTTTGATCATTTAATGTTTTGAGGCCTTGCCCTGCCCTTGTACACAGGCAAATGTACTCTCACTGACTCCAGTGTGATTGTTGTTTATATAATGAATATACAAATACCCTTTCATGTTGAAAAAACTCCCTGCTGAATGAACTGGACACATGCTTAAGTTTTAAGTTAGGGGCAGATACAAGCTTGCATCACTTAGTTGCTGCATGTCAGCATACTCTTCCTTTTATTTTGGTTTAAGTCGGTGCCCCAAGACTGTTTCTTCATTCCGTTTAGGAGCTAAGTGCATTTAACAAGTCTTTCTTACACTAAGAGCTCTAAATCAAGTTAATTTCATGAAAGGCATCCCTTTCTGTTCCCCACTTAGCTTTATGTGTGTGTCTCTTTCTAATCCTGCGTGGAAAGGTTAGAACAGCACTTCAAAGCTCATCCAAAAAATGAAAGCAAAAATAATGGTGTTGGTTTTGCTCTGCTTACTAAGACAACGATGTTTTTCATACGCTCAAACTCCTCTGGGTGAAGGAAAGCAGTGAATTCTTCACGAGTGGCAGCTAAGTCTCCATCCAGATCTGCAGTTTTGAATCGTCTTTCATCTCTGGGCAGCATTTTCTTAAAACTGTGCTGATCAGTTGCATCTTGGAATTCTTCTGGATTTTCTGCAAATTAATTAAGACGATCTCAAAACTATGTTCCTTTTAAAACGTATTACCACAACGAAGCACCCCAATTTGCTGCTAGAGTCTATAAAGGCTTATTGCCAGAATAGCTCCTGTGTGAAAATGGAACTTTCCTGTGAAGTTTTAAATTCAGGGATCGAGTACTTGGTTTGATTTTTAAAGGTGACTTAGTAGCATAGGTAAATGTCTGAGTAAGCCTTCTGTTGCAATCCACACATTTTGCAGTATTGTATATTATCCTTCATAGATTATTTTTTTTTAATCTGCTTTTACAAGTACTGCTTATGCAGTACTTAGGATAGATTTCATTCACATAAGTTTTATTCCTCTTAGGAATCAGTATGATCTACACAACTTTTCAGTTTCAATAAGCAAGCAAACCAAAGAAAAGTGGTTTCAGAAGGTGACACACTGACTGAAACTACCTAACTGCTACGCCTCTGCTACAGGGAACCTAACAATTATTTTCAATTTAAAACAATGACATTTTTTCAAAGTGTTCAGTGACATAAAACAAATGGTATTTGATACAATTTTTAAAATAGGATCACTAAACTGACTTCAAACATGAAAAATACTCCTAACAATTTCACAATTCACATACTGGGAGACAAACACAGTTGAAAAAGACTAGGCCAGGAATCACAGATGGGAATTTAAGTGTGCATTAACACAAGACCACAATGTAGTAGCTGTTCTCCAAATCTTGGGGATTACAGAGAGCAAAGACAAAGGGCTGAGAAGGGTTCCCAGGGATACTACTGCAGGGATTGTGTGTCAAGTATTTCCTTCCACAAATGTAGTAAGCTCCATTTTAATCTATGGTAGTCTTTGGACTTATTACGGCTACTGGAAGCTTGCTCCAGAAACTGCCTCTATGGTAGGCAGATACTGTCTTGTCATTTTCAGTAAGTATAAATGCTCAATTAATACTGATTTGTTGTTCTGTCAGCACTGCCCTTTAAGTGATCTCTTTGCATTCTTTCCCTTCATTAACTTATAAAAAGCAAAGGGAAGGTATGTGTGTGGGGGGGAGAGATTCAGGTATATTTTTTTAATATGTCTTTCTTTTGCTTGATTTGTTAAGGATTTTCATTTGCAATTGATCACAGTCTAAAGCACGTTATTCTGCAAGAACTATTTTAATCAATAACTTTGCTATAGCTTAGACGCAGCCTAAACTTTTAGCATCTAGACTCTTTTAAGATTTTAGAGACGCTGCATTAACAAATACTGGTTAATTACACAATATGTTATTTTTTAAATATAGTACTATTTTTAATGTTAAAAAAATAATACATTTCTAACTGGAGGAGACTTTAATTCAACTTTGTCAGTACATTTAATAATCCCTCTACAAAATCTTCTGTGTGCTGGTGACCCATGTGGAAACAGCTGCAATGAACAACTAAGAAGTGCTTTTGACCTCTGAGCATCTATAAAATTTAATGTGATTTTCAAGAGTTCTAAATGTGACACTAAACTCTTGTTGACTGTAAGGCATGAAATGATGCCTTATAATCTCAACAGTCTTTGAGCATATAATCTGAAAATGTTATCTTACCTAGATAGTAACCGTATGTGGCTTGTTTGTATTCTTCCCAGGCAATTTTATTGTCCTTGTTTAGATCATAGTCTTTCCAAACTTTAGCCACGTTTTCATAGATATAGCGTTTCTGTACCCGTTTGATCCAGTTTTTTAATTCCTCTGTTGTGAGATAGCCATCTTTGTTGTCATCTATTCTATCCACAATCTTCCTGTAAAAAGAGACCAGCATCCTTAAGAATTGACAGAAAAACAACTGCATGTCAGTCCAATTCTAGTAATCTTTGTCTGGCCCCGATTTTGTACAAAAACAGAGTGCCCAAAAGTTATAAAGCTGTCCTACTGGCAAAGGCTTTCTTGCATTTTGCAGATTATCTTAAGGGATATGTCTCTCTTCATTATTCAATATTGGTATGAATAATTGAAATAGAACTCACATGAACAAAATTAGTAAGCAAAGTACCTCAGATAATATCTGGATTTCTTAGGTGTGTTTACTAACTTAGGGGGACCTGTTCTTCACCGTCGATAGGGAGTGGCCATGCTGGGCTCAGAGTAGGAGACACCAACTTCACCTCAGGTAAAAGCCTGTACTGGAGCTTGCTGGAGGCAACCAGGGCAAAAATCTAGGATTTCGTGGACACCTGCAGTTTCCACTGTGGCTTTCCAGCAGACTGACACCAGGGTGGAGTGAGTTATATGACTCTAATGCTGGGCATGTACACCATGTACAGTCTTCCCTTCCATTCTTGTCCCTTCACTTCTCTTTCTTTTCCCTCTTTCCCAACAAAAACCTATATTGCTTGAGTTGCGAGGAATGCCTGTTACTTGCTAAAGCAATAGCTAGTCTGCAGCAGGTTTCCAGTCGTTGCTAGCAGTTGGGATACAAGCCACTGTCTTGTGTAAAGCTGCTAGCCTCAAGTCCTGTTGAAAGGTACTGGTGTACTCCCAGGAAAACTTCCATCTTTGAAAAGTTCTGCACATAGCTGCAGATAAAATTGACCTGAAAAACCAAGTTCAAAAAAAAAAAAAAAAAAGAGAGGCAACACTCTCCTCTACCATTTAGGTTCTCTGCAATAGATCTCTCAAGGGACACCTGTAATTGCTAAATGCCACCAGTTTGGGTTTGAGCTTGTAAAACTGGCTTCTGTCCCAGCTACAGTGGTAGACCAGATGATAAACCCCTTTATCGAAACTAAGAATGCAGCTTTAATCCCACAACTTGTAGGTAAGCTTGTCATAGCGTTCCTATATTCTGGGCACTGGCCTGTGTGAAACCCTGCTCTTGGAACTGGGGCAGTTAGCACCATGTCTCTTCTGTGAAGCCAGGTTGGCTTTAGGCACGTCAACAGTTTTAACCCTTGTATCACTGCTCAGGAGGTACAGGAGCAAACTGTAGTTGCACTGCACCTAGTTCAGTGACCGCCCAGTGGGAAACTCAAGATAATCTGAATTCCCCATAGGCTGAATTTCCATGCTATGGACTAGTTATAGGTCATTTGTAAGAAGGGGTAAGAGCAGGAGTTGACTTGTCTAAATCCTGACTTGAGATTCAACAGGTGAGCTCCCTAAACCTCCAGGCAGTCAAAGGACACAGGGAAAAGTTCTGTACTTTTAAATATTATTTTCTTTAAATATTTATTTCTTTAAATATTTATTTATTTAAATATTTATTTATTTAAATATTCTTGGCTCTCCACAAAGAAACCGACCCTGGCCAACTGGAACCGCTCAACTAGTGAAGCAGTCTTTTCCTAAGCCTTAGTTATGAAAGTGGTAAGTAGAGTCAAATAACAGCAGCAGCTTCTGCTGAATTTCCAGCAATCCTGTGTGAGTCTGATAGTATCAGGCTGAATTTACAAACATGCTATTTCTGAGCTACGGGGCGGGGGGGGAAGGGGCGGCTGAATTTTCTTTCTGAAGTAGTAAAGTATGAATTAACTGACTGGAAAACCTCTTCTCTTTTGTATAAATCTCATGGGGAATTGACTGCGAAGGGTCCCTTTCACTGCACGACGGACTGTCAATAGATTTGCCCCACAATGAATTTGACTTAAGTGGTTTAGCTGATATTTCTTTCTATTGTTTAACGTATTGGTTATACTAGCTGATTCTGCTAGTAGCTCTTTGGTATTTTTAACACGAGATAAATCTGTTTACCAAAGAAGTTTCATGCCTCTTCCTTTTCACCTGTTTTTATAGGTCTATTGCATCCGTGTGCACTATTTCACGCTGGGGACGAAGAAATAGCATTGCCTACAGGCTCCCAAAGGTACAGGTAAGAAGCTATTGCATACACTGTAGACCTCACTTTGTATACTGATAATTACCTGTAAAATGGCTCAGGATCATTCTGAATTTTGCAGTGGAGCTAATGTACATTATCAGTCTGAAAAGCCTTAGTGCCTTTATTTCAAATAGTTAATTCTCGAATACAGCAAAAATTCAAGGAGCATGTTAACAGACACAAAATGCCAGCTCATACACAGGAATTTACATGCACAAGCATGTAATACCTGAAAGCTTGCTTTCTTCCTTTAACTTGAGGTGGGATTACAGTCAGTATTAGTTTCCCACCTCATAATAAAGAAGCTAGAGGGCACACACAACAGGTACATACAACCTGCTACTACAGAGATTTAAGCTGCCAGTCTGCAAAGACATCCGGTGATGAAACAAAGTTGAGGCAAGGAAAGCATTACTATGAAGTGGCTGAAAAAGGAAGGCTTCCCCTCTGCACCTGATGTGAGTACAACTGTATGTTGATAAACTCTGGCTTTGGCCTGTATAAGGAACAGAAACATTTATATTGTGAGGATCTGTAACCATCTTCTATGTTCTCTGAAAATGACAGGCCCATCACACATGGCAGGGAGAAAGTTCAAAGGACTGCAGCCCCACTCCCGCCTCCTTAGCCCACCTCCAGTCCCTTAATGCCGTCCTTGGATGCTGCACCAGAATTACATCATGCTTCTCCAAAGCCAGGTGAGTTGTAGTACTGCACATGGGTGGGCAATGTGTGATTCTTCCCTTGTCAAGTGATCCAGTGTGGGAGGACAGGGGGAAGGGATGCCCCTGTCATGGAATCTGTCATAAAGGCAGGTGCACTCCCAGGTCATGATACAATTATGGGCTAGTATATGCCACGATCTCAAACCAACATCATACTGCACAGCTGCTCCTCCACTGAGGCGGCAGGTAGTTGAGTTTGCAGGGCTTTTTCTGTATACTAGATAGTTCTTTTTTGTTTGCTGGAAGAAGGTGAGAACAGCTTTGCGTTACTGCTGTCTAGCCCTGGGATTCCAATCCCAGCCTTAGTCACTGGGATGAACAATGTGCTGCCACCCTTCCTAAGCAAGGCAAAATGACTTACAAATGCAGCAGCACGCACTTTGGTTAGAGCAGGAGACCACATGTTGCTGTTTCTCACATTCAAAAATAGCTTTTCATTAAATCTGTCTTCTTCCTAAAACCCTCACTGCAGAGGTTGCCCATAACAAAACTCTTTTTTTCAGTATATCTGATTATTAAACCACAATAAAAAGAAGGAAGTGAAACGTTTTAAAAATCCTCTCTCTCCTCTACCTCCCAGTATGCTCTCTGAAATTACGAGGTTAGGAAATGCTGAAAGTTATGAAACTTTCCCACGAGGCCCCGCAGGAACCACATCTCTGATGTTCTGCTGCACAATGCTCACTCCACAATGTGGGCTTTAGTCACCTCCATTTAAAAGGTTATTGACTGTCGCTGTAGCTTAGCATGCCTATGTCACATCTCCAAGGTGCACACAGTGAGATCACTAAAAGTTACGCTTCCTTCCTCGCTGAGTCAGCATTTGTAAAAACTGTTTAAAAACAGCTATATTGTTAAATCATATCCCCAACTGAAATTTCTATACTGGTGTAAGTATAAGTGTAGACCATTTTTTAAAAGGCATGTGCATTTTAGATTCTCATAAAGCATATCACTAAGTCATAGATTGTGTATGCTAAGAACATGGTTTCTTCTGCTCCTTCTTGAAATTCCAATGAAATTCCAAATGTGGATGGAATTGGTCATTTCTGATAATTTTATCTGTTTACTCACTGAGATACATGTAAATAGCAGTGACAGCTTCCAGAAGGATCATGAGGTTAATCGGTGAGATAACAGCGATACTGCACTAAGAGCTTATGATGGAACTAGACAGACATGCAATGAGTAAGTACTGCTCCCTATGGAAGTAAAGGCAAAGATAATCTTAGTGAGAACATGCAGATATTTTAAATGGTTTTCTTGTTAGTAACTACATAAAAAGATCTTTCTTTAACTACTCTTAAACTTAGTTCTAATTAGTGATCTGACTTCCTGTAGGTGTAAAGGAGGGAGAAGCAGTAAAATAATGCAACTGTTGCATAGACTCTGTTCTTGGCGTAAGGAGCAGCATGGAAGCAAGAGCAACACTGTAAGACAAAGATGTCCCAAGTGGAAAAGCTGTGGGAAGATGGCTTCAGGTGGACTTGTAAATGGAGCTGTAAAGAAGGAATGGTTTAAACTTCATCCACACTAATATGGTCCGGGCAAGTGACCCAGAGGTAAGGAGCTGTAGCAGCAAAGCCCTCCAGCAGCGGGCGAGGTCTGTCCAACACCGGGCACAGCACCACGTACAGCAGCTCCCTCCACGAGGTTTACTGCTGTAGGACCAGAAAAGGCAGGGGAGAAAGATGCAAAAGTGATGAACTGTTGGTTGCTCATTTGCAAAATCAGCGGGGCGTGAAAGAAGCGTAACCGAAGAGGTGTCCCTGGCTATACAGGGGTACAAGGCACCTCTACACGAGCCCCTCAGCGTGGGAAGGGGC